AATGTAAGCCTTATAATTAGTAGGCACTCTTATACACAGTCTATCTCGTTTATTATGTATAAGTGTTTGTATCGGCCTAATACAATTTATATATTTTTAGCTAAAAAATTGCCCGTAGATGTGCATCCAGATGCCGTTTTCGCATGCAACGAATTGGATCTCAGTGAGGTGCAGGTCTATGGCTTCGACTATGATTACACTTTGGCTTGCTATAAGCCGTTGCTGGAGGATTTATTGTACAATCTGGCTCGGGAAATGTTGGTTAAGCGTTTTCGCTATCCAGAGGATATTTTGGATCTGGAATATGAGCCAAATTTCGCTGTACGAGGCTTGCACTATGATGTGGAGAAGGGGCTATTGGTCAAATTGGATTCATTCTTGCAACTGCAATTGGGCTCAGTATATCGTGGACGCACCAAAGTCGAAGCTGACGAAGTGCTCAAACTCTACCACAATCGATTGCTGCCCATTGCCTATGTCGAAGGACCCAATAATAGCTATAGAGTAATTATCTGAAAATAGTCATTATTTTATTTGATATTCTAATCCATATACATATCGATTTTAGCACAATACCAACTCAAAAATGGTGCAATTGGCGGATCTGTTTTCAGTGCCCGAAATGTGTTTGCTCTGCAATGTTATCGAATATTTTGAAAGAAATCGAATAGATTATAATCCAGAGATCGTATTCCACGATACAAGAACAGCCATGGGCTCCTGTCATCCCATAATGCATGCTACGGTCATGAAGGATACGCAAAAATATATCGAACGCAATGCAAAGCTGCCCAAGTATTTTGAGAAACTTCAGCAGGCGGGCAAGAATCTATTCCTGGTTACGAATAGTCCATTTTCCTTTGTGTAAGCCAAGTTGGAGTCAGATGTACATAAATGCTTTAATATCATTCTTGAATCTTCTTTTATAGGAACTGTGGCATGTCTTATCTGGTGGGCGAGAATTGGAGAGATTTCTTCGATGTGGTCATCGTTCAGGCACGCAAGCCCAAGTTCTTTACAGACGAATCTCGGCCGATAAGGCTGTACGATGAGAAAACCCGATCGCATCTATGGGATCGAGTATTCAAGCTGGAAAAGGGAAAAATCTATTATGAGGTATACATATAGATAGCAATTTAACTGAAAGAGCTCAAATAGCTTAAGCAAACAGCCGCTGTTTTCAATTTGCATACCAAATGCAAAAACTGTAAATTCTTATAAGTAAATGCTAAAGCTGTGCAAATACCTATTAGAAATGTTAATTTGCATGACAAGTTTCAAGTCCCAACTAGAAACTAGAACTGGGAATTCAACAGGTGTCTTATACGCTTCTCACATCTGTTTGTATTCTGAAGAGAAACCAAAGCACACCTGTTGATCTTAATGAGAATTATATGAATACCTCCTAATCTTCACTGTACTTACCATATCTACTCCACAGGGCTCTGTACGGCAGCTGCAGGAGCTGAAGGGCTGGCGCGGTCATTCGGTGCTCTATTTTGGGGATCATCCGTACAGCGATCTAGCTGATGTTACCTTGAAGCACAGCTGGCGCACAGGTGCAATCATTAGCGAGCTAAACGTGAGTGTCACCTGTATATAACAGAGATATATCTGTATACCTTACCCAAACTCCTTTTCCAGCATGAGATAAAGACGCTGAATCGCGTGGATTTCAAGATGAGCGCCAATTGGCTGCAAATGTTGACGCAGCTAATTGAGGATACGCAGGATGATGACAGCGCGGCGGCCCAGGAATGTCTGAAAAATTGGATGAACGAACGGGATCAATTGCGGTTTGTTTAAGATATATACCATAAAATATTTATATGTATATATTGTAATATTACTGTACTCACGCGTTAAGCAATTTCCGTTTCTCTCTTGCAGGAATAAAACGAAAAATGTCTTCAACGAACAATTTGGCAGCGTATTCCGTACGTATCACAATCCGACGTATTTTTCACGTCGCCTATTTCGCTTTGCGGACATTTACACGAGCGACATTACGAACTTGCTCAAGTTTTCGACATCGCACACATTTTATCCACGACGCGGCGTCATGCCTCACGAATATGCCTCACATTTTATATAAAACACGGAAAAAACACAGGGTATCATCACTCTCCCCTTGTCTCGATTTCTCTCTAAAAAATTGTAGTTTAAGCTAGAAAATGAAACAAAAGTGCCAGCGTATGCTTGTTATTGTTGTTGTTCTTAGAGAATTTATTATTGTTGTTAAGCGTTAGCATTAGCATTAGCATTACCATTAGCTGCAATGCGCTGCTCAATAAAGTCGTTGTAATAGTTGACAAAAATCCTCTTCGTATCCGTTGGTAAATAATTGATGGCAGTACGCACAGCCTTGAGCTGCTCGCTGCTGCATTTGTATTTGCCAAAGGCTGTTAAGTCCATTAGGTAGGTTAAATGGCTTATATAGGTCATGGAGTCAGCGCCATGCTGTGCGGCTACGCCCGCCAGCAGGTAATCCAAAATGCGTGACAATTGCTTGTAGTCGCTGTCATCGAAGGTGGCGCCATCTATGGGAGAGTAGATGCGGTTAGAGATGTCGTTTTACAGTGGAAATCATATATGGAATTATTGGACAGAGTATGTATGTGTATATATTATATTGTAGAACAGAATTAAGGACGAGTGAAGCGGCCTTGTCTATCTCTTTCTCTCTCTTGATTCGTGTGCGTTGTCTCACTCACCTGCTTTAGCTGTCAGACAGGCCGCAATTAGCTGCTGGGCCAAGTGCAGTTTTAAGCTATGATAATCCAGCAGCCAAGTGTCGAGTTCTTTAAATGCTTTATACGCTTTGCGACGCTGTTGTTGTTCAGAGCAAAACTCGAGAGTCCTCCGCAAAATACCGAACCAGTTAAACAACTGTGTCGCCTGGCACTTGGAGCAGTTAATAGCCGAGTTAGACTCTGACTCCCACCATTTGAATTCCTCCCGCTGGCTAGGCACATATATGTGGGCACAGAACTCGCAGCGATAGCGATTAAAGGATAGCTAGAGTGTAGAGTATATATATTAGTTACACTAACCAACTAGATCAAATGACATTTACTTACAAAAATCTCATCAGGTTTGTTGCTAGCACATTTTATGCATTTGCAACGGAACTTAAAAGTCTGCTGCAGCTGCGCCTGGCGCATGGCGCAACTGGAATTCCTATAGTCCAAGGTATAGCAATTGAAGATCTCTTCATCCGCCTCAATTTGTTGGGCTGCCAGGCAACTGACCGCACGACCGTCGCAATGGAGGCGAATCGAAGGAGCACAAGCATGATTACAGAGGGCCAAATATGGTAAATTCAGCGCCGTTGTCAGGGCAACACTATCAAACTTATGCATCTGGCCTAAACTTAAATGGAAAGGTGCCCGCCAGAGCTTCGATTCCATCGTGTGACACTGGGAGCGTAGTACAATGGTGTCGCCAACGTGGCCATTGCAGAGCAGCTGGCCGGCACAGCGTAGAATTAAGGCAGCTATCAATAAGTGCCAATCTTCGCGAGTCTTGACTTCTAGTTGCTCATAGAAATTGGTGCATCTGTGTAGATAAACTTGCAAGAGATTTGCGCAGAGCGCGTAGTATATGAGCTCCTCGGCAGCTGCCTTATCCAGATGGCTCATCATGCATAAGCTTAGCAAACCCTGAGAAGCACTTGGCCAATCATAAGTTTTACTAGCCTTGGCCATTAGCAATTTCCATGCCTCTTGAACATTTGAGCCTTTGCCTAGCTCAGTCAGCCACTCTTGCATGTAGCAAAGCACCATTCGGAGAGCCAAGTGCGAGACGCCCAGCATGGTAAACAGATTTTTTCTGTAGCCAGCACATTCGTAGCTGTGGATCTGCTCGTTTAGTTGACGGCAGTGACGCGAGCAGTAAACCACTCGCTGATGGCATTGAGTACAGGGTATGGGTGCATAAAGCACACTCGCAGCGCACTGCTGGCAAATCAAACCCGGCTCGAGAGGCACAAAGCACGCCGTTTGCTCTTTGAATATGATGTCACCTGGTTGGATGGACTGCGTGGCCACCATGTGGCGTCCCTTTTCGCCAGGGCTGTTCGAGCTAAAATATATCTATATCAATCTAATCATATTGAATATATAAATTATTTACCCACATTTTGTGATTCCTTGCTAAGATCTGCAACGAAGGAGCTTGTTCACTCGTGAGCTCCTCTTTCGGCTCAGAGACCTGCTGCTCTTGTAGCTTTGTTAGCTGCTCTTGCAGCTGCTCCAATTGGTTTACATAGCCTGCATTTAGCTGTTGTTGCTCCAACCACGATAGATGCTCTCTCAGTTTCCTTACATCGCCCAGTTGCCAGGCACAGTGGGCCTGTCTCATTATTAGCTTATGCTGCAGTTTCTGGGGATAGCCATATTCAAGTGCACACTCACAGTCGTCGTAGGCTTCCTTGTATAAGCCAAAGTCCTGCAGTGCCATGCCTCGATTCGCATAGCCCAAACAGAGCTCCTCGTGAACATTCTCTGCCTGCAGAATGGCATGTGTATAAAAACGACAGGCAAGAAGTAACGATTCTCTTCGATCGCTCTCATTTGTCTTGGATCTCTTTGTATACACTGCATTTCCATGCTCTCGGCTAGAGCGCGAGCATTCGGCACAGGCCTTTAAATCGTGGACATCGTCTAAAGAGTCCAGCAATTCGTGGGTTAACTCATTGAAACGTTGCTGCTTGGCTGCAGGCAGAGTGTGCAACACCTTGACAGTTTCCAATTCATTTTGGTAGCTGCTAATAAATGGAACTAATTCATTTTGCTCACCAAAAACTTTTGATAAAGTCAACATTTATTCTGATTTACAATTATTAATTTGCAACCGGCTTTCAAAGCTAAAATCAGCTGTTTTAGTCCAGTGCTGCCCATCACCTATCGATATGCAATTGCAATAGCTGTAACTATCGATAGACGCATCAACAAAAGCAGCTGTTCAGCTATCGGTAATTAAGTTATTTTCATTTTTCAGCAAAAATGAGTTGTAATTAAATATTCATTTCAAGTAAAATAAAATATTTTCAACAATGGATTTACAACAATTGGAAGAGGAAGCACGCCAAGCAGCGCTTAAAGATATTCAAAATATGCTGCAACGTCCTGGGCAGCTAGAGAAAGTGGAGCAATATCGTCACCGCATAGCACGGAAAAAAGCATCTGTGGAGGCGTTGTTAAAGACGGGCATGCAAAATCAATTGGAGGGCGTGCGAGTGGGTCTCAAGCAGCTGGAGACATGTATGCAGGATGTGCGTGAGGTGCGTCGCCGCATGGGCGAAGTGGAACGACTGCTCCAAGGCGTACCGGAGATCTACGACGCCTTGGAAGTCGTTCGAGAGGAGAATACAAAGCATTCGCAATATGCAACGGCTATGGAGAATCTGAAGCACATCTTCAACGTGGATGCAAGTGTGCAAAAGACCATGGCACTCATAGACGAGGACAAACTGTTGAGTGCACATCAGTGTCTGGCCGATTTGGAAAACTCGCGGGATGATCTGCTCTATGAGTTGCACAAACAGCCCAAGCAGCATGCCTCCGATAAGATCACACTCAAGCGCCACTTCGAGAAGGTGGACCAAGTGTCGCAGGCGCTGGAGAAGAAGCTGCGCCTGATCATCAGTCGTACGCTGAACACGGTCCGAAAGAAACCAACGGTCATTGTGACTGCACTGCGAATCATCGAGCGTGAGGAGAAAAACGATCAATTCGCGCTGCAACAGCAAAAGGTCACGAATTTCCTGCCACCTGGCAGACCTAAGGCATGGCGTGCCATGATTATGGACGTCCTCCAAGCAGCTGTCATCACACGCATCGAGGGCTCCAAGCTGGAGGAGCGTGCAGACAACAAATTGTGGCTAGTGCGCGACTTGGAGATATTGCGACAAATTATTCTCGAAGATTTGCGCGTGGTTAAATCGTTATGCGTTCCCTGCTTCCCACCTCATTACGATATATTTAATGAATATGTCAAATTCTACCACGAAGGATTGTCCAGCTATGTGAGTCATATAATTCATTAATTTCATTTATATTACTAATTAACATCCCTGTCTCGCAGCTGGACAATATTGTGAAATCGGGTCTGCAAGGCAATGAATATGTCTCCATGTTAGCCTGGGTTATGCACACCTATCCAGGCGCTGATCTAATGTCTCATCCCGATCTGAATGTGGATGTACTTAAGCTGTCGCGTCCGCTGCTGCATCCCGAGCACTTGAAATCACTAGAGGATGAGTATTTGCAGAATATGGAACGCAACTATCAGGATTGGATGAAAAAGACAGTGGATTCGGAGAAACAGGAATGGTACTCCGAGCAGATGCCCGATCAGCGAGATCACTACTACAACAGTGCTGGCCCAGTGATCATATTCGAGATGATCGATCAGCATTTGCAGGTGACAAACACCATACACCAGGAGCTGACGTTTAAGGCGTTGGTGCTCAGCATACAACAGGTCGAATTGTTCGGACAGACTTATCTCAAGAATGTCATTGAATTGAAGGAGCATCATTTTCGGAATCGAGATCAAATCAAATACTTTACCCATTATATCATAACCATTGTGAATAACAGTCAGAATGTGGTGGAAATGGCACAGCAAATGAAGCATCTGTTTTGGCCCAAATCCCGGACGGAACATTACGAAGATTTCGAGAAGCTGTTGGCAACGTTTCAAAGGATCCGTGCACATGCAGCCAATTATTTGCTGGAGGAGGCCTTCCTTGATATGGAATGCCATTTCAATGACCTATTCACGGTCAAGTGGCTCGGCAGCAGCATCGCTGTGGACACCATTTGTGTTACGCTCGATGATTACTTTCAGGATTATAACCACTTGCTGCCCGCCAATTTTGAGATGGTGATCAATGAGGCTCAGAAGTTGCTAGCGAAGCGCTATATAAGAGCTCTCTTATCGAAGAGACTTTCGAAGTCCCGCAGCGAGTGCGATGCGATTACCAGAAAGATTAATTTGGAAGCTAAGCGCATTAAGCAGTTCTTTGAGAAGATTGCACCAAAGATTTCGCTGAGCGATTCCCCCTTGGATTTGATAACAACTCTATCCGCTCTCATAGTCGCGGACATTGAGTTGCTCGCATTGGATTTACATACGCTGCTGGGCAGTTATCCTTCGCTGACTGAGGATCACTTGGTGCGCCTCTTCTACATCCGCAATGATGTAAAGGCCGCCGAGGTGCGAGAGAAGGTTCAGGATGCGATGAAGTCCAAGAAGTCCATGGTCAGCATTGCCAAGCAGGATTGCATATTCAAGGAGATCGTATTTAGCGATAAGCTGTGGTAGAAGACCCAATAGTTATAGCAATATAAGTATAAATATTTCACTCATACAACTTATAAAACTGTGCTACAAATATTTAGCTATGAGCTATGTCGTATAAGTACGTTACTAATGCATACTTATACGTATGTTGTTTTTATAGAGTATGAGATTTAAACTTATATGTAGCAGGCATATTTTGTTTATGATATGATAAGCTTGCTACGTATACTTAATCATAGTCTTATACACTACTTATAAAACTAGACCCTTCCTCCACCCCCCTTCTACACCACAACGCAACAGCGCTCATTCATCATTCCATGTCCAAACGCCGGTCAGCTGGTTATTCGCCTTGGCGCGCTTTGCTAGATGAGCTTTCATACCGATGAAAGCTCTCGCTCTCTGTCTCTCGCCCAGCATGGGCAGAGCATGCACAGTGGCGTAACAGTGAAAGTTTGTCTAGCAGAAACTTTGGCTGGGCAGTGTGGGCTGCCCGGTTGGAGCTGTGTGCGTACGCCACTGGCGCAGCATAAGCATTGTGGAGCAGCACGTTTCCATATGATTTTCAGTTTTGTTTGTGCGCTTGACTCTGCAGCAGAGCGCAGAGCTCACAGAATAATTTTAAACATTAATGTGTAGTGAATTTTATAACTATATATATACATATACAATATTATAAATGCTGGATTTATAAAATATAGCTAATATCAAATAAAATATTAATAAAGAAACGACAAAAACCTACAAATATTTGGTGAGTGAGACACGCGACACCAACTGAAGCTTTTTATGTGACTACATAAACACATGAATACATACATACATACTTATATCTATGTTTGCATGATTGTGTTAGCAAACGTGTGCAGTTTTTGTGTTTTGGTTATAATTTTATGCATTGCTCTTGAACCTTGAAAAGTTTTTGGTCATTTTGTCAAATCTATACTACAAACATATAAAATCAATGCTGCGCTCTCTGTCTAACAGCAGTCGTCAAAGCAGCGCGTGCTCCTCTGTCTTTGTGTGTGTGTGAAGGCATTGTATAAGCGGCTATTGGTATTGGTGCTGTGAGGGGGTTGCTAACTAGAAAACTGGCTGCCTGGTCCAGGCTGGTCAAACGAGATGCAAAGGCTAAAGCATTTCCAATGTACCGTAAATCCACACASACACACACACACATGACGATATTATGTTCTATTTATAAATGCATGTTGAACTCTATATGTTCATGCGTGTACTAGAGCGAGTTCCATGTGCTCTCCCTCTCACTCTCTGACTGTCATTAGAGCACGTTGCGCGTGGTTGTGCTTATCAGCAAACACAATTTCAAATAAATTCTTACAGCTGTTTTTAGTTGCACTTTGCCATCGCGCCATCTGCAGTTTGTTTTTGTTTACTCTCTTTGTATTTTCTTAGGCAACTAACACCATTGCAAAAGCAACTGCGCAAGCTAATAGGCAGACGGAATTCCCATCGAACGGCATTTGATGGCGCACGTGTCGCATTGCAATGCTGAGACACAAACCCAAACAGACATAGACAAAACACATGCATATACTATTACGGTATAGCCGGCTTTTTATGGCAAGTGGAGGTGTTGGGTATGATGGGTTTTAGGGAAAGTTTGTCACAGAAGACTAGATTATTTTTATTTCATTTTTATTAGCTTCCTAGAAAATAATGTATTTATCAACTAAATCTTAGAAATTGCTTAGGTTTATATTAATAATATAAAGTTTTAGGTACCTCAAGTTGGCCTTTTGAAAATTGATTACAGTTATCATTTATACTCCAAATTTTAAATTACACCTCAGATTAAACAAAATTAAATGGAGTTGAGAAATGGATTTTTAGAATTAGGTTTAGTTTAGCTAAAGCTCGGCTTAAGCGTTTCTTTGGGTTAGTTAATAATGTAATGCTTTACTCTATACTGATGGGTTGTACTATAGTAATCAACTTTCTCTATGCTCGGATTGCAACTACATCAAATGTTTCACTTTTCCACAATTTTGCAGTTTACTATTAGCAACTACTCAAATTTATAGGCTAAATTCTAATTTTCAAAATATTTACAGGGTATATAGTCTGCGATTAGTTAAGTTTGGGCTGACTTTGTGCTAACGTAATTTCCTTAATTGAAGATCAAAGATCTTTATTGTACGCTTATCTCATTTAATTGAAAAAATTCATGAGATCATTCACTCCTTCTCTGCTACTTCTCCATCCATCATCACACATCCTAGTTGAGTCTAGTTTTCCAACACTTACATTCAGTTTCTTTGCAGATCTTGATTGCTTCATTCATATACATATAGTAAGCTATGAGTAAATCGCATCGGGATCTAAAGATCGTTGTCATCGGTGCCGGAGCATCGGGCGTTGCCTGTGCGACGAAACTTCTGGAGTATGGCTTTCAGAATGTTCTCATCGTGGAGGCCGAGTCCCGTTTGGGCGGTCGCATACACACAATACCTTTCGCCGAGAATGTGATTGATCTCGGGGCGCAGTGGTGTCATGGGGAGCAGGATAACATAGTCTATCAGCTGGCCAGCCAAAAGGACCTACTGGAGTCCACTGGTCCGGTCTATGAGAACTATCAATGTGTGCGCAGCAACCGGGAGGTATTACCCGATAACGTGGCCAACAGGCTAAAGGCAATTGTGGGCGACTCTCTGGTTAGCCGTCAGATGGAGCTGCAGCATTGCAGCGGTTCCCTGGGCAGTTATCTGACCAATAAATTTTATGAAATGCTACGCCGACCCGAGAATGCCGATATAGATAAAGTTTTGGCTAACGAGTTCTTTGATAACTATCAAAAGTTCGAAAACTCCGTGGAGGCCTCCGATAGTCTCGAGGAGGTGTCGGGTCGTGGCTACTTGGACTATTGGGAGTGCGAAGGCGACATATTGCTCAATTGGAAAGACAAAGGATTTGTGGAGCTGCTCCGCCTGCTCACACGCAGTCGAGAGCTGCAAACGTCCTCGGATCTCGGCGTACTGGAACAGCGAGTGTTATTCAATCGTGCCGTTAAAAAGATACTCTGGAATCGCAACGATTCTCGCGTGGAGCTGCAGTTGAGCAACGGGGAATGCTGCCTAGCAGATCATGTGATTGTGACCGTATCCCTGGGTGTGCTCAAGGAACAACACTTACAGATGTTTGACCCACAGCTGCCAGTTGCCAAGCAGCGCGCCATCCAAGGCTTAGCCTTTGGCACGGTTAACAAAATCTTCGTGGAGTTTTTGGAGCCATTTTGGCCCGAGGACTGGACGGGCTTCACTCTGCTATGGCGGGAGGAGGATCTGGGTGATATACGGAATACGTCACGTGCCTGGCTGGAGGATGTCTTCGGCTTCTACAGAGTTAGCTATCAGCCGCGCGTCCTGGCTGGTTGGATCATCAACGCGAGTGGCAGGCACATGGAGTCCCTGGATCGTAATGAAGTGCTCGCTGGCTGTATGTATCTGTTTCGTCGCTTCCTGCATTGGGATATACCGGACCCGGTCAGCTTTTGCACCTCCGCCTGGTATACAAACCCGAATTTCCGTGGCTCGTACTCCTTCCGTTCCATGGACACGGAACGTTTGGGCACTGGCGCCCAGGATCTAGCACAGCCCTTGACAGTGGTTGCCATGACACCTCAGTCGCCGGCCCGCAGCCGAAGCCGAAGTCTACCCCAACAGAGTCGCTGTGATCGACCCATTGTCCAATTTGCAGGCGAGGCGAGCAGCCCTCATTACTATTCCACGGTCCATGGAGCTGTGGAGGCCGGCTGGAGAGAAGCTGATCGATTGGCGGAGTTTTATGGCCTAAATGATGCGACGGCCAAATCGCAGCTATAGCGATCGCTGCATATTTCATTTGACAGACTCTTCCTGGCTGACTGATTGACAATTGACTGATTGACTGAAGTCATTTCAGGCAACTACTGTGGCCCAAACGAACCAACGGCCACCTACAGCTAGATTTTCATATTCTTCCCGGCTGATTGACAATGATTGATTGGCTATGTCCATGGCCATTACAAAGTGTTTCCCTACTTTATAAGTAACTGTTCAATGGCTTGAGCATAAACTGATTTAAATATAAAAAAAAAAACAATCAATCAAATTTAACTGAACAATACATCCTGAATAGACTCTAAGAAATATATATATACTGATGATGACAAATATGTATATATAGCTGATATAAATACATAAGCATGTAAAGAGCTTTACAAATTTGACTATGCACTATTTATCATAATTATAAATCTATGACTAAAACTATTAAATAAATTCTTGGTGATGGTTGACGTTGGTCATATATTGATAGATAGATACATAAGAGTAAATGATTGATGATACAATCTAAATATATATGACTGATTATACTCGCCAAAGAAAAAACTCAAAAAATCATGATTGTTTTTGTATTTGATTTAAAATTAGTGAAAATTTCATTTCTCGTAACTCTGACGTAACAGATATTTATAATATATACAAATTTCGTAAATTTTTTTATGGGAAGTGTAAGTAAAACGCGATTGCAACATAATCAGCGACAACTTATGAAGCCAATTCGAATTGTTGCAGTGTTGGTCGAAAAAGAACGCAGAAGGTAGCCTATCTGGGAATAGTCATGTACACAGGAGTCTGAGAAAATCTGATTTTGGACAATATGAGCCGAAAGTTTTGATTTTGGGCGCCGGTGTAGCGGGTCTTGCCTGTGCTGTAGAGCTGAAGAATAACGGCTTAAATAATGTCCGTATTGTAGAGATGTCTGATCGAATTGGCGGACGTGTCAAGACCATGAAATTTGCTGACAATTACATTGATCTGGGTGCCCAGTGGGTCTATGGAGAGAGTGAAAATTTGGTCTGGCAGATGGCAGATGCGGATGAGCTGGGAAAATCAGATGGTACGATTACGAACATGAATTGGATACGTTCGAATGGGAAAAAAATTTCGCAGGGGGTTGTCGACCAAATGCTGAAATTGATAACTACCATCTATGATAATATGGAGGACAGCGCGATTGATCCCACAATCACCTTTGGCGACTATTTGTCAAAGATGTTTGACAGAGAGGTGGAAAAGCAAAATATCCGCATTGATAAGAAGTTAGCCAAAGAGTTTATTGTTACTGTCAAGAAAATGGAAGGCAATATGGCGGATACGGATATGTCGGCCTATAACTATTGGAGCTTCAAGCCATGCGATGGCAGTGGCCTTTTGAATTGGCGCGAGAAGGGGTAAGGGCTAGGGGTTGACCAGGTGGGGGTGAAAGTCATATAGTCTAAAAAATTTAGGCTACAGGCATATACATAGATCCATCCGTCCCTCCTTCCGCACCCTTCCGTTCGTCCTTATCAACTAGTCTTTCTTACAGCTTCAAGCAGTTTTTGCGTCACCTCGTCGATGGCGACGACCTAAATGAGCATGGAGTGCTTAAGGACTGCATCGACTTAAACCAAAGGGTTCGTGAAGTCGAGTGGGATCGTCCAGATGGCACTGTGCTGGTGAGCTGTGAAAAAGAGAAATATTCCGCGGATCATGTAGTCATTACTGTCTCGCTAGGCGTGCTCAAGCATAGCTCAACGCTCTTTCGGCCCACTTTACCAGACGCTCATTGCAAAGCGATCAATAGCATGGGATTTGGCAATGTCTGCAAGATTTTTGTGGAGTTTCAGGAGAAATTCTGGCCAGAAGACTGGCGCGGCTTCAATGCCCTATGGAGAGAACAGGACATGCCAGCTCAGCCCTGGCTGAAGGACATCTACGGTTTCCATGTGTATGACCATCAGCCACGCGTTCTGCTCGGCTGGGCATGTGGATTCCATGTGGAGGGTATCGAGACCATGAAGCACTCTGCTCTAGTGGAAGGCGTTGTGTACATGTTAAAGCACTTCCTGCCCCACTTTAAGGTCAGGCGTCCGAACAATTTGGTGATCAGCAAATGGGGCGCTGATCCGGCGCACTACGGCTCCTACTCCTATCCATCCGTATTAGCCACTGAGAATGATACGGGACCCGAGAAACTCGCACAGCCGATCCATGTCCAAGTCGCTGTATCACGTCAGCCGTCTGACATGAGTATTTCCTCAACATCTCTAGGCCGGCCAATATCAGCGCGACCAGTATTATTTTTTGCGGGCGAGGCAACCAGCTCCGATCATTATTCAACAGTTCACGGTGCTGTAGAGTCGGGAATACGCGAAGCTGAGCGTATTATTTCCTTCTACAGGAGCTCAATTTATTCTGCTTATTCAAATAATAAACTAAGGTTATAACGGGCTACTACCAAAGGGGCTTACTATACTACCGAAATTTCAGAAAGAGTTGTTAAATTTTGAGTACAATATATAATATGCAACTTTACATGCATAAAAAGACTATTACAAAATTTTTTATATATATAATGATTTTTGGGTACTCCAAGAAGCTGCTTTTGCCTCTACTTCTCTCGCACGATTTGTGGCTGGAAATCCAGTGCGGCTGCCTTGCTTAAGGATTCGGCATAGAGTGGAAGTCGTTGGGTCATGCGGAAGCCCCAGAAGTCCTTGACCTGGCGGCACAGATTCAGATCCACCTCCGTGACCAGCAGACCATCCTCACAGCGAGATAAGCTCTATAGGAAAATGATGTCTCATTAGCTTGATTGCGAGTTTGATTGCAAGAGTAAGCTTACGGGAGTTCTGGAGCCATCGGGTGCCGCCACATAAGTAGAGCCATAGAAGGGTCCGAATTCCTTATGCGCTGCCTTACCATCCCCGGAGGTGTACTCGTTGGGAAACTCCTCAGTGCCCACTCGATTGATGGCCACTGTGAAGTAACTGTTCGCTATAGCCGCATTCCTTGCTTCTATGCCCCACAGGGGCTCCGAGAGGCGTCCAATCGTAGCCGACGGATTGAACACAATTTCAGCTCCATTCAAACCGAACATCATCCAATTCTGTGGATGATGCCGGCCGTAGCAAATGTTGATAGCCAGCTTACCGAACTCTGTCTCGAAAACGGGATGCCCGGTGTTGCCCTCAAAGTAGTAGGTGGACTCATTGAAGTCACCCACACGTGGTATGTGATTCTTACGATGTTTGCCCATGTAGCGACCACTGTTCGAGATGACAACAGCCGTATTCCAAATGGTCTCGCCGTGCTCCATGTCTCGCTCCAAGATGGAGTGTATGATGACCATGTTGTAGGCCTTGGCTAGCTCTGACATCATTTTGGTTGTCGGGCCATGTTCCGCCTCCTCGGCGAACTCGCACCAGGGAAACTTTTCACGTGTGCAGAAGGCAAAGGGCATGGCTAGAGGGAGGGGAGTTAGATTGGACATTATCTATGGATGGATTTGGCTGCACTTACTCCACGCCTCCTGGGTGCACACAATATTACAGCCTGCCTCGGCTGCCGCCTTGATCATGAGCTTTACTTTTCTCCAAATGCCCTCGCGCTGCTTCTCAATGGGCGCCGTCGTCGGCAGAGCTATGGAATTCTGTATGGCACCAATGCGAACCAGGCGAGGCTTACGCAGCTCCTCGGGACGAGCTTCAAAGCTGTAGCCCTTGATCTCGAAGCCATTCTGTTCGGCGGTCTGGTAGGCGCTCTCTGGCAGCTTCAGAGTGTTGCTGAGGGCGGTAAAAATGTTGGACACAGAGAGAGAGAGGGAGTTAGATTGGCATGGGAGTTGAAGAAAGATATCGTCTGAGTTCGAATGAGCTTCACAGAGCAATAGAATGAAATGAGGAGAAGAGAGAGTGATTTAATGGGAAAGTGCGGAGGAACATATATCAAAGAGCATGAGTGTGGGGGAGAGTGTCGGAGAGATGAAGACCTCTCTGAGGCAAAGCATATGAGAGCGAAGTCTTCGATGAGCGTATCATGGAACGTAAGAATGTGAGTGTGGAGGCGGGGTTGAGAGAGATAGAAACTGAATATATCTGAGCGAGTGGTCTGAGATCGAAAAAGAGTGATCGCATGAGACATCAGGTGTAGAGTGATATGAAATAAAGAGAGAATGATAATGCCCTTTGACATTATCATTGTGGAAGTGATTGTACGAGAGGGGTGACATATAGAGAGAGATGTTTTTATTTTCATTTCCACTGCTTCGTAAACAATGCGCTCAGCTTGTTATATATTTGATATATATATACGCTGAAGAATAGAGTCTGTTAGCTATCAAATATGTCGCATATATAAAGATATGCACGTATTATAATAAATGTAGTATAGAATATGATTATTCTTGTATGTAGGTCAGGTTAACTCACTTCTTTTTCTGTCCCTCCCTCTCTTTAAGTATTTTCATATAAAATAGTCACTGCATTTTTCTGTAAGAGTATTCAATCTTCATCACTGCATAGCTAATTTTTCTACAATTTAGAAACCTCGTATACTTGCTATACATATATGTACATCTATTAAATCTAAATTTAATTTAATATGTATGTATACCATATAGATTTTATTAACGAACCGCCTAAATGTTGAACCAGCTCTAAGACTTATCTGCGCTACGTAACTTTGTTGCCTTATCAGCTTACTGTGTGGCCCATTATTAAGCTCTGATTAGCACATAGATATACTATTCATATCAGAAGTAAAAATGACTTTGCATATGTATATATAGTTAGTTAGTTAGTAGCTAGAAATTTTTACTCACTCTTTCTCAACTCCATAGAGTATGCGTTTGACTTCTTTCAGCTCCTCGGCTGGCAAATGTTTTTCCAGACATTCGTCCAAATTTTTCAATTCAAATGTCGCCATAGTTTCCGGCTCCATTCGCTCTGTATGCTTATTTCGTAGTTGGGTGAATCGAAATAATGGAGGGAGAGACGTACTCTGCTTCTTCTTATTTTTCAAATAGACAAACGCCTGGTGCAGAGAGCAACCACTCGCGGTGAGCGTTAATCGCGGAATGATCATGGTCGATCAGCCGTTTTTAGAGATGAGCGATAGCAGACACAAATCAAACATTTACTTAATAAATATTTTACAGTTACTTGTGATTTTAAATTGAAAACAGATAAAGAAAAGGCTAATAGATGAGTCCAAAACTGGTGGCATTTTCTGGCTTTTCTAAATAATGATAATATAAGACTAATGACAATATATTATTCACAGCATATGCTTCATTTGAGAAAGCATATTAAAAAAA